CACCAAGGCCGACCGGCTCCCGCACCTCGGCCACACACCTGCCCTGCGAACTCCCAGTGGCACGTTAGCGCGTCCTCTTCCTGAAATGCCGTCCCTTCGGAGCGGGAGTGGTTCAGTACGGGGGGTGACAGGGTGACGCGGCCGCCCTCGGTAACCCCAGAAATAAGCGGGAGCACGCTGTGCACGGCCTTGCGGCCTTTCCTCTCGCGTGTTTCTGATCTCGTGTGTGTGCAGAATACGACGGGAGTTACGTTGCGTGTTGTTGCACATGAACTTTTTCTCCTCATTGTTTATCACGAGCATCGCTCTCTATTTGGCAACTTGAACTGTCCATGAACTTGTCTGTGTTAAACATCCTTTGGTAGCATCATTTCTAATGACCAGATATTATTCCAGCCTTTGGCAGCACTGTAACTCTTGTGAACATTTGGTGTTTTTCTCTGTTTTTCACTAATGTACATAACTCTGAATTTAATATGTCACATGCAGATAAAAATTTTTTTTATGTATTTGCTCCCCGAAGCTTCGTGTATTGGGAATTTTAATTGAATATGACATCCCTTAGATACAAAGGGTATTTAGAGTATTCTAAGTTTTGCTCCATAATCTTTGAAAGGTTTTTAAGTTGCATTTCAGTTGGACAGTTCACTAAATGGTGTTTTTTGAGGAAAAATAACCTGTTGCTGAGATGTGTGGTTCAATAAAACAGTTTACGCAGCGGTGTATGTTGAAGTTCAAGTTAGCGTGGGTTAGTCCAATTTAAGGCTCGTCAGTTTGGGTCTGTGTTGCGTATTCCTTTCTTTTTAAAACAGGAAGGAGGCAGGACAGTCTCTCCCCATCTTCACCTCCAGAGCTGCTAAAGCCCAGCACGAGCCAGGAGTCAGTATCCTCTGCGACATTTCCCACGCAGAGACAGGAAACCCTTGATCTAGCAGGTTCTGTGCGTTAGGCTCCAGGATGCAGGCAGATTAGGCATTGTTTATGGATTTTTTTTTTTTTTTGGTGGGGACCCAGTGCTAGATGGCGAGACCCCAGAAGGTGAGAAGCCGACAGAGGGAGCAGCAGAAGACTCTTCAGCAAAGATGGAAGAGGAGGAGGAAGACGAGGAGGAAGAGGGCCTTCCTGGGTGTACTCTGTTTATTAAAAATCTCAACTTCGACACAACCGAGGAGACGCTGAAGGGAGTGAGTGGCAGCTCGGGGGTGCGGGTGGGAACCCCAGCCCGCTCCTGGTGTCACGGTGCTTGCTCTGCCTGTGGCATGCCTCGTGTTAGTGTGTGGCTTCACACCGCCACCACCACAGCTGTCCGGTAGACACCTCGCCCAGAGACCCGAGCGGTAGCCAGAGCAGCCTGGGGTCTGGGAAGGGCAGACACACACATAAGGGACCCGTTGGGATGTCTCAGGAGGCCCGCATCACATGAAAGCCACAGTCCTCGTTCGCATTGTATGTTTAGAAACGAAGCCCCTCGGTGTTTGCGGTGGCAGAGACAGCCACCGTCCTTCAAGACGCACCTGGGTCAATTGCAGGATCGGCCTGGAACTGCTGACGACATACATGGCCTTTCTTTTCTAGGTGTTCTCCAAAGTGGGCGTGGTGAAGAGCTGCTCAATTTCCAGGAAGAAGAACAAAGCAGGTAACACACCTGAAATCTCAGCCAGAAAGCCATGGTTCCGGCGGAAGCTGTGGCTTTGGGCAGGGGTTGGGTAACGGTAGCTCACACTGGCTTAGTTTGGAGGTCCCCTCATTCAGAAGTGTTGTCACCGCCAGACTCACTTGGCTTGCACAGAATGGTCCTTGTTTCTGTGTCCCTGGAGACCCCCGATTCCCACTGAATCTAGACTCTTTGCCAGCTTAGACTGTCAGAGACGGTTCGCGGCCGTGCGGTTAAGGGGCGGGCAAGGTTGACACAGTTCCCTAGCAGAAGCCTGTCCCTCCCTCCCTGCCTCCAGCACCTCTGTGCTCTGGAAATCTCCTAGGGAATAGCAAGAAATGATCCATCTAGAGCTTTCCCTCTTCCCTTCCAAGAGAAAGAGTCCAGAACGTCTGGAATGTTCCACAGAGTCATTAGCCACACTCTTCACTGACCCGTGGGCCCCTGGGCCATGCAGAGACCACTCTCACTCTCTCCATTTGACCTTGGGTGTTGTCCCAAGTGCCCTGGCCTTTGCTTTGTCTCGTCTCCAGCTCTGGCTTCCTGCAGATGACGGGCAGACCATATATCCTTGCTTTTTCATAGCTGTGCAGTCCCTGTCCCTTTAATTTGGTGGTATTTGTAGGGATGCCACATGAGTTCATCCACAGCTGTGTCCTGAGAGACAGATGAGCTGGTGGGTGCAGCACAGTGTGAGCAGGAGGGTGGTAGAGGGGAGCCCAGTGGGACAGGAGCCCAGCTCCACGTCAGCCCGAGGCTTGGAGGGTGGGGAGACAGCAGTCAGCGGACAGGAACGGGCTGTGCACGGAAGGGAGGAGGCGTGAGAGGGCCGGACCAGCTGAGCACCGGCCGGGAGTGTGGTCAAGAAGAGGCTGGAAATGCACCTAGAAAGACAGGCTGATTCCAAATCACAAAGTGGCTTTTGTGCCGCGTGGAGGAGTCTGGGCTTTTTCCCAGGAGGGGTGGGAAGCCACGGAGGATTTTAAACAGACCGTACGTAGCACAGGAGTTAAGGGAGCTCCTCGTGTTCGTTGGCGAGGGCTGCCCTAACAAAGCGCCACAGACTGGGGGGCTTAAACAGCAGGAAGTTACTGTCTCACGGTTCCGGAGCCTGGAGGTCCAAAGTCAAGGTGTCAGTGGGGCTATGAAGGACGGTTCTGCTCCAGGACCCTCCCCTTGGCCCGTAGGTGCCATCTTCGTGTTCGTGTGGTGTTCTCCTCGTATATACCTCTCCTGTGTTCAAATCCCTACCTCCTCCCGCCCCCCCCCTTTTTTTTTTGGTAAGGACACTACTTGGATTGGATTAGGGCCTCCCTAATGACCTGATTTTTAACTTGAAGACCTCTGTAAAGAGCCAGTCTCCAAATGAGGTCACATTCTGAGACACCAGGGATTTCAGTGCATGAGTTTGGGGGACACAGTTCAAGCTGTAACAGCCCTGCCTCCTGGAGCTGCAGGTCTGGTTTACGAGGAAGGCAGCTGAGTTCCAGGATGACGATAGGATGGCTCGTTCGTGGGGGGTTCAGGAAGGGAGGTGATCTCTGAAGTCCGGGAGGTGAGTCAGGCTGGCCTCGGTGTCTCCAGCTCTGTCCAGGCCTGTCCCTGCGGGTCCTAGGGTCGCCGTGCCCTCGTGCTGTGTGGCGCCCGCCTGTCACCCTCGGGAGCCCTCTTCAGCACCCTTTAGAAACAGTTACTTGGTCTTCAGTGTCGTGAGCAGCTCTCGAAACCTGCCCTCTCTTTTTCGAGAGCCTCCACGTGAGAGCCCTGTTCTCTGGGCTCGGCCGTCATGGTTCGGAGGGAGTCTAGCCGGGGTCTGCGTCGGTGAGGGTCGCGGCAGGAAACGGCACGCTCTGCTGGGCTTGCTCAAGAGACCTTTGAACAAAGGGGCGGGGTGGGCTGGGCTGAGGGGACCCGCGGGGGATGTCGAGGCAGGAGAATGCCTTCTCCCAGCTAAGCCCAGAGGGCCGTGGGGAAGGGAGCGGTGTGACCGGAGCCACAGGGGAAGGGCCGCCAGCGGGAGCTGGGGGTGTCGGTGGACGCCAGCACTGCCAGCACCCTGCCACAGCAGGGAGGGGGGCACGGGGCACCTGGAAGGAACCGGTGCCCCGATCTCTCTTCTCCACCAGTGTCAGGTCGGGGCTTCCCAGCGGGAAGCCAGAAGGCCAGGGGGCCCAGGTAGTGTGCTCCACGGAGGTCGGCCTCCCAGGGCCGGGGAAGGGCAGAGGGCGCCTCGGCACAGCGTCAGTGACGGGCGATGAACTTGACTTTCTATAATTGCCATTCACACAAGCTGACTGCACTTTCTAAGTATCCTACATACACAGACACCACTGATCCACAACCTTGCTTCTCTGAAGTGTTCAAACACTGCTGACGAACAAATATTTAAAGTCGCCACAGGGTGGCGCTGCCTGTCCGCCAGCAGCTCCCTCTGAGCCTCACTTCTGCCGCCCATAGAGCCATGCTTGGGCGACTCATGGGAGTTCTACCTGCAGTGGGCCCTTGTTCTGTGACACCTGGCTGTGAGTGGAGTGCAAGCAGGCAGGTCCCCACGGGAGAGACACAGTTCTCACAATACAGGAGACGCAAAGGTGGCGACACCCAGTCAAAGGTGGCAAACCTCGACCCATCAGACTTGAGCCATTCCTCTTTGAGTTCAACTCTGGGAAAAAAATAGAGGATAAAATTAGTAAGTCTGTGTGAAATGCTGGGGAGGAGGCGTGCACGTGTCGTGTCAAAAGGGCAAAGTGCAATTAGAGGTCTTATCTTTTTGTTCCCTATAAAAACTCTGCCCCCCATTACGTGTGTGTAGGAACCAGGTAGGTTTGAATAATGCCATCGCCCCCTTGCTCCCAACTTTTTGCCTGAAACCCAGGAACCAAATGCGATTGGCTGGTCAGAAGTGCTTGTAGTGAGGAAGCCTTTGATGCGGTTGCCTTTCCTGCATGTAATCGCCTTATGCATTACGTATGGGAGCAGGGACTGTCTAGGTATAGAGGTTTTGCCGCTTGTCATGGCCATGGTCATCTCTGTTATTTCCTTCTCCCTCCCAAAGGCGGGATTCTATTATGAAGTTAATTATCATGTCAGTCATCTGTTAATTAATCGTCAGCTGGGCCTCAGGTGGTGGCTCTATAACCTCCTTGGCTGATTCTTCAAGAAGACTAGTAATAAATGGCCAGCCAGGAGTTGGAGTCTTTTGGGGAGTGAGGAGGGGTTTGAAGGAAGGGTGGGAGGCAGAGGTCCTTGCACTTGGCCTTGCGCTCGCTCTTCTGCGCCCACCACTTGGGATGCTTCCCACCTCTCTCTCTTCCAGGAGTGATGCTGTCCATGGGGTTTGGGTTTGTGGAGTACAGGAAGCCAGAGCAGGCCCAGAAAGCCCTCAAGCAGCTCCAGGTAAGGTCAGGATTCTCAGCCGAGGTCCATGCAGGCACTTGGCGGGTGGTGGGTCTGGGCAGGGGGTGGGGCCGTCAACCCTCTGCAATCAAGCAGAAATGCGCTGAGTCCACACTTTCTCCAGCTCTCCTGGGGACCGTGGCTCAAGAAAATCAAGACCCTCCCTCCGCACTCATAGTCATTGCAGTGCGGTCACTCAGTCACAGCTCTTGACCGAGGGCCTGGTGTGTGCCAGGTGCCGCGCCAGTTCCGAGGGCGCTGGTGAAGTGGACCCCTGAATAAATACACTAGGTCACGAGAAATGCTTGGATGGACGAAGCAGGCGCCGTGATGGGGGAGGGCAACTTTAGATTACGTGGTCAGGGGAGCCTTCTCTGAGGAGGTGACACTTGAGCTGACGCCTGATTAGCAAGATGGAGTCAGCTACCCAAAGATCTGGGGGGAAGCAGTCTGGCAGGGTCGGAGTGTAGGTGGGCGGTGAGTGGGGCCACACCTGGCAGGCCTTTCAAGAACTGTGGAATTCAGCACGAAGGCACGAGATGCCATCGGAGGGCTTGGAGCACATTGGGGCAGGATCTGATTTCTGCTTCAGAGTGACACTTGAGCTGACGCCTGATTAGCAAGATGGAGTCAGCTACCCAAAGATCGGGGGGGAAGCAGTCTGGCAGGGTCAGAGTGGAGGTGGGTGGCGAGCGGGGCCACACCTGGCAGGCCTTTCAAGAACTGTGGAATTCAGCACGAAGGCACGAGATGCCATCGGAGGGCTTGGAGCACATTGGGCAGGATCTGATTTCTGCTTCAGAACTGTCTTTCCAACTGCTGTGCAGAGAATGTGGGTCATCAGCGGACAGGTGGGAGACCACCAAGTCATCCAGGCAGGAGAAGATGGCCTGGGCCAGGAGGGAGGCGGGACAGGCGGGAGAAGAGGGCTGAACTCAGTGTTTTGGGGACATAGACTCAAGGCCCTACACAGAAGAGGAAGGAGCAGGGCCCTGCTGATAGGCCCAGAGCACAGGGACAGGAGGGGAGCTGGGGCCGCAGGGAGCAGAATAGCCCGGGGTTTGCACCACCCCAAAGAGGGCCAGGCCTCAGCCTAAGACGGTGTCCCTAGCACCCAGCACACCCCATGTCCCCAGGCCTTTCGATGGCAGAGGACAAGGAACAGTGCCTTCTCACATGCTTTCTGTAGACCCACTTGCTCCCTGCTGTTGCTGGCCCGTCCCTCATTCTGTAGGAGTGTGACACAGAATAGGCCGGTGCTCATGGTCGTGCCTCTAGAACATGCTTCTCAACCCAGAATCCACGGAAAGGCTTCAGGGGTCCCAGGACCCTTGTAAACCGTCTTCAGAATTTCTCATGTCTCTGTGCACCATACAAAGGGGGCACAGGCCTGCCCAGCGTGAGGCCAGGCGGTATGAAGGTAAAGTAGCATGATTCGGGCCAAGTTCACGAGCCAGGGCCAAGTTCACAAGCCAGAGCAGGAAGGCTGCACACCAGCCCCAGGCACGGCTGGGCTGGACACAGTGGAAAGGGCACGCATACAGGGCCACCACCGTAGGGGGCTTCGTTTATTTATAGGGATCCTCCAGGTGGCTGACTCCCAGTCAAGGGAGAGGCCTTGGGTGTCAAAGAAAATATCAGTGGGTGCTTGGCCAACACAGTTGTTTTAGTAGAATTTTGGCCTCCTTCCCCTTGGCAGCCACTGACTGGCCTCGGCCAGTTACTGCCCCAGCAATGCCGATCTCTGGCTTTCATTTTGTCTGTTGCTGTGTTTTAAGAGACACGGGGAATCCGACTTTGCTATTGAGCTGGGTTTCAGCTCTGCACATTCAGTGGTCCACCTTTCTCTTCCGTATGAGCCAAGATTCTGTAAGATTCTACTTTTCACACGTACCGTGTTCTCTTCCTCCCTGTGTAAGTGCGTGTGTGCATCTTGCTGCAAGGAATTGTTTCTACAAAGCTGCGTGTGCTGTATTTTATGGGCAATTTAAGGAATTTCAAGGGTAATTTGCTAATACGCCCATTTGCCATAAGAAACCGACGTTAGAGCCTGGCTTTAGATGCAGCTCCACCGTGATTTCAATTTTTTTTTAAAGAACATAGAAACTAAACCGAACTCTCTGCAAGCCAGGCCAGAGGGGCTTACTTGGCCTGAAAATGCTTATGAACAATGGAAAATGCTGCGGCCCTAGCATGGCGTCAGGGTCGAGGCCCACTCGCGGCTCGAGGGGACGTTGGCGGGCTGGGACTCTGTGGCCACCCGCTGCTGCCTGGGCTCCGCGTGAGCCATTTCCGGGAAAAGCCATTCTCTGCCCTCGATTCCAGCCAGCCCCGCCCCCTGGGGACAGTCCCCCCTCCGAAGTTCCCTTTCCCTTCGCTCAGCTGAAGCTGCTCTGGTGCAAGGCCGGGGGTACCGGCGAGTTTCCGAGAGGACGGTGGGATAAGCTGTGTTGTTTTGTCTCTTAGGGTCACGTGGTGGACAGCCACAAGCTGGAAGTGAGGATCTCGGAACGAGCCACTAAGTGAGTCTTCAATGTCCCCTCTTTCCTCTGATTTGAGTCTGTCCTTTGGTCTGGTGCTGGTGCCTGGAGGGCTTCTCACGGCCCTTTAACGTCCTCACTGCTTGACCCCCTCTTCCTAATTAAGGTGGTGTCACACTTGCCACCTCCGACTCCGTTTCTCTGAGGGACTGAGACCCGGCCAGTACTTCGAGTCAATGTTTATTTAGTGCACGTATAATAAATAGGGACGCAGACAGGAGAAGCAAGCAAATCACACTCATCTCGGCCATATAAATGAACCAAGGAAGAGCTGATTCTTGCTGGCGCTTGGACCAGCCCAGAGCTATAAAACCTAGATGTCTCACTTGATGGGGCTTGCTTTCTTAGAGCTGGACAGCAGTGCCCAGAGATGGCCTCCACTTAATTAGAAAGAGATTCAGTAGGGGTTAGAGATGAGGACAGACCGGGGGGCCCGATGACCAGTCTGCTGAGATAGTGGGCTTTTTATTTTTTTCAAGTTTTAATTTTGCCCCGACATCATCTGTTTTTCCGTCTAAATAAACGAATACACTCGAGGCACTTTGAACAGTGCCCGGCACAGAACGCGTGCCCAGTGTAAGCCGTTCTTGTCATTGTCATGATCATCTACCTGACTCAGGTGATGAAATGACCACCCCTAACAGTCCTAGAGTTTGTTTAAGAGAGTTATTTGTTAGTTCTCAGCAACTTGGTCGTTTGTGGTGGTCATTGAGCAGAACAGCTGCCAGCGAGCTGACCTGGAACTGTGCCTTTTTCTTCTTCTCTCTTTTTGTTAATGCTACTTGGGAATCCAGCCTCAGCCACCTCGAGTGTGTTTCACCCGCCCCGGCCTGTGCCACGCTGAGCATCCTTAGCGAGAAGGCGCCATATGTCCAGGGGCCTTTAGAAGTCTAACGGGGGTTCCCGAGCTGTAGGAGTCCAGGCTCTGAGCCCCATAGCTTTTGCTTTGAACCTGGAAGCTGAGCGGCCTTGGGCAGGTGACCGTGCCTGGAAAGCAAAAGGTGATGGCTGGAAGTCGCACATAAATTGTCGAGCATATACCAGGCATACGAGCACTCAGCCCGCAGTGGTGATTTTTCTTTGCAGTCCCCTGTCTCCAGGGGGTCAATTCCTAGCCAGTGTTTATATAGTCACTTCTTAATTTAAAAAAAAAAAAAATTACAGAAAACCAGCTGTGCACCAGACACTCTCTCCAGGTGCCAGGAATGGAATCTCTTTGTGGAGTTTACATTCTTAGGTTACAGTATTCGAGAGAACCCTCTGCAGTGATGGAAAGGTTCTAGAATGTTCTACAGCTGGCCGTCCAGTATGGCAGCCACTTGCTCCATTTGGCATTTGAGCACTTGAAATGTGGCAGCCGTGTTATTTATCTTCCGCTACATATCAAAGTACCCCCCACACACTCGGTGATCTTAAAATGGCAGACGTTACCTCACAATCTCTGTGGGTCAGGCGTGCAAGAGCAGCTTCGCCGGCTAGTTCTTTCTCATAGTCCTCTCGAGGTTGCACTCAGGAAGGTGGCCGGGGCTGCAGCCTCGTCTGAAGGCTTAAGTGGGGTCAGACGGATCCACCCCCAAGATGGCCCACTTACGTGGCTGTTGGCGGAGGCCACGGTTCCTCCCCACGTGGCCTCTCCCTAGGGTCGTAGGTGTCCTTAGGCAGGCCAGCCCATTTCCCCCAGAGCGAGCACATGGCCCGAGAGGGAGCAAGGAGGGGACGCGTCGTCGCTCGTGACCTCATCTCAGAGGCCACACAGCATTGCTTCTGCTGTCTTCTGCTGGTCACACAGCGTGTCCCACACACTACACGAGGGCATGGATACTAAGAAGCAGGGGTCCCCGGGGACCGTCTTAGAGGCCAGCTGCCCCACGGGCGAGGAACTGGATTTTGAATTTGTTCCATCTTAGATTTGACTGACCACCTGTGGCTAGTGGCTGCCATATTAAACAGCACAACCCTAGAGGACAGACAGTGACGAGAAACACGATTAGATGTGTCGTAGGCTGTGGGATAGCAGTGAACTCTATGAAGGAACATAAAGCCTGGGGATTACTGTTTTCGTGGAGATAGTTAGGGGAGGCCTCTGAGGAGACGTAGTGCAGACTTAAAGGAACTGAGTCGTAGAGACACTCGTTATAGTAATAGCTGCCATCTATTGGATGTTTATCACACAGCGGGCACCGTGCAGCATTTGACACATCCTCTCTCATTCAATCCTCAGATGATGGGGTTGGCACTATCATTAGGCCCATTCTATAGTTGAGGAAACTGAGGCCCAGAGAGGCCAGGTAACCTGCCTAGATCATACAGATCCTAAGTGGCTGGCTGGGCGTTCTCTCTAATTGTTAACTCAGCCGTGCCCTTGACCTCCCCCGCTTCGATTGAGCAGGTTTTCTTGGGGGAGCAGGGGGACAGGAAAGGTAGGATTGTCTTAGGGATGGCCGTGGACCTCAGCCTGAGAGTTTCCCCTCTCACCCCAGCCCATGTCCATGGTTACAAACTGGATGATGCTCCTTGGGTGAGTGATGAAAGGTCGCGGACAAGGCCTTTGAACCAGCCAAGGTCTTTTTGTGTCTGGAGAGAGACAGGGGAGACTAGATTTGGTGAGAAAGCAGCATCGCCCTCATTGAGGTTCTTTTCTTAAGTCCTCGATAGCCCCTGTGTCTCCCACATGAAGGGCAGGAGACACCCAAGGGTGGGATGTGTTGACTGGACATCCACAGCTGTTTCGCGAATCCAGCTGTGGTCCGCATCCCCCTGGGGAGGCTGCCTTCCTCCCCGCTCATCTCAGCCTCGTCCACACTAACTCCTTAAATCCCTCACCTGAGCGGAAGACAAGCGTTGACTTTTGTGGGGTTTGGGGTGGGTCAGTGTAGGGCAGCGGCAGCTGACGCCCTGAGTGACCTGAACCCTCTCCCTAACCCCCAGGCCAGCCCTGACATCCACTCGGAAGAAGCAGGTTGCCAGAAAGCAGACAACCTCCAAGATTCTTGTGCGGAACATCCCCTTCCAGGCTGACAGGCGGGAGATCCGCGAGCTCTTCAGGTAAGAAGGGCCAGTCCGGTCCAGTGGACGGCGCGTGGGTGGAGGACCGCCGGGTCCTTGGGGAAGTCGGCCTTCGGGCTTTTGGTGGCTCCGCTGAAGGTTAGCACAGTGGTCTTTCAAAGGTCATCTTTTGGCCGCCTTTGATTCATCTCCCTCGATCTCAGGCTCCGCTCTCTAGAGCACTGTGCAGAAAAAAGTCGGAACAGCCAGGCCTCCCCTCCAGAGGCAAGACGAGACAGGGCAGTCAGTCTGCTTCATCCCCATCAGCTCTACCCGTGATCCGTCTGAAATTTCTACCTCCCAAGTCACTCCTTTGGTTAAAGCCAGGGCTTCTCCACCTTGGTGGCACATTCAAACCACTGGTGACTTAAACACACCTCTGCTCAGGCCCCACCCCCGGCAAGTTGGAGTCCCTTGGTTAGGGCTGGGGCCCAGACATTGGTATTTTGATCAGAGCTCCCCAGGAGATTCTGATGTCCAGCCAGGTTGAGGAGCACTGGTCTACATGGCTGTCTATGGAGAGCCCCTTTCAAAACGAGGATGAGTCACCGGCATAAATAATGCAATCCAACAGCTAGCATGAGGTGGATAACTCAGCGGTGTCAGGGGCCACGCTGAGAGGGGGCCGGGAGGAGCGGCCGGT